AGCAACCCTTTCTTGTCAGATAGTGCTAAAAAAAACAGAAAACAAAAAAAAACAAAAACAAACAAAAAACGTAACACAGAGATAAACACAGGGTTATGTGACGTCCAAACAAGCAAATTCCGCATCTGTTAGTAGAACTGACGATTGGTTGACGCAACTGTCCCCTCCTTTCCTTATTCTATGCGCTTCCATCATTTCTCTCATCGTCCGCTTGTTGTGCCTGTCAATTATTCGTGTGTCGGAAAATTTCATTCGTTTCGGTTTCATTCACTGGTGTAGCCAAGAGTGGGGAATGTGTTCATCCCCCCCCTTCCCCCCTTTTTTTTTCCACCACGAATCTTTTCTTTCAAATTCGCGCATACATACATATACCAAGACATCGAGCAGTGTTAACATTTATTTAGTTTCTCGATTTTTTCTTGCTTCTTTTTTCAGCTCGTATGTATATATGTGCACGACCGATGGAGAGTTTCATAAGACAGCTATTCTGTGTGTTTAACAATTTAAAGTACTATTTGGTACTCTACTGTGGGATAGCAGAAAGCCTTCCCAAGCAGTTTATATGGTGTTTAGAAAAAGAAAAAAAAGGGGGGGGGGGTTAACGATTTAGATTACTTGCTACTCTACTATGGAAGAGCACAAAGCCGTCCCATGGGTTTCACACTTGAAACGAAAGCACTCCCAAATAACAGTAAATAAAAAAAAACCCCGACCTTCGCCCAAGAGTGCTCAAACCGAAAATGAAATCACATGTGTGGCGCGATGACATGGCCGGAAAAGGAACCTTGTGACAGTTTAATGCCGACCGCCAGGAGTGCTAGCAGTCATGCGGGCCGCATGGTCCAATGAGAGTGTCCGCTCTTTACGTTTACTGTGTTCCTCTATGCACCAAATGTTGCCGGGGTAGAAATGTGTTTAGAAAAATGTTTAACGATTTTGAATACTTGGTACTCGACTATGGGAGAGCAGTAAGCCGTGTTTAGAAAAAGTTTATTTACAGCATGTACAGAATACAAAGGCTTCATACCATTCCAGTAACAGGGCACATACACTTCGGCACATCTATATTTCACGACTAACATCACTACGTTACAGTGAAGACATTTGCTCTAATATACATGATTATGTTGGCATACATGTACACAAAAATTCAATGTGATATCACGATACAAGGGTATAACGATACAATAGATCCAAATGAAACACAATTTGTAACAAATGAAATCATATATAACAACTCAACAGGCGCTGCTTAGCACCAAGTCGGTCGAAAAATAAGCCGTACCGTTCAATCTAGTCAGATCACTGTTCAGATAAACGTAATCTAAGCACGCCTAGCTCGAGTCATCCCGAGAAGCCTTCCTGTTCGATCGGGTTTTACGGCGGAGTTCTGCTACCTGTCTAAATAACTTCACTCATGCCCTACATAATGATATGTACTGTGAAACATAAACAAAGTTTGCATTTAATCCTTTAACTAAAACTTTTGTTAGGGGCTGCATTAGAGGCTGCAAACCCTGTGGTTACGCCACGGCTAAATATTGAAAATTCGTGTAATGGCCCCTGTTTAACGATCTGCTACGAATTTTTCACCACGCAAGGGACAGATTCGAACAGAAGAAACACTGATTGCAATAGAAATGAATTAATGAATGAAGGAAAAAAAATGGCAGCATATCCACAGGGTGAATGATGGAGAGTGGGGCGAAGCATCCGTCCGTCCATTTGTTCTTGCTTCCGTCCGTCCATGCGTCCGTCTGTGTGACCATCCATGCGTCCATCCACCCGTCCGTGCGGGCGTCTGTTCGTGCGCCCGCACGTCCGCCCATGCGTCCGTCCATGCGTCCATCCGTCCGTGCAGCCATACATGCGTCCGTCCATACATCTATCTGTCTGTGTGTCCATTCGTCCACCTAGTCAACACTCCAAGTACCACCATCTCGCATATTTTCATCATATGTTCCGCACGTAGAAGCACCGCCATCCAGCGGACATTCCAAGGACTAAACGAGAGGTGGCACACGCACACTTTCTTACGGCTTGCGCTTCTTGTCTACTTCCAACCTTTAACCACCTCGAGTTCAAGGTATATACTAGTTCACTGTATTCATGGCACTGCGGCCCAACGCTCGCTAAACATTTCTAAAACCAATGAGGTTACGCCCAGCGAGTATAACGTAGCAACCTTTTCTTGTCAGATAGTGCTCAATGTACATGCCACTGGCTGCTAATGGGGAATGAGAGACAGGAGAATTCGGCTTTTAGTTAACGCGCACGCTGCGAACTTTTTATTGTTCAACAACGCACAGGAGAAATCTCCCACTGGCACCACCTTGCAGGATCAAAGCGTAAGACTGGTTACGCACTACGACTACGACGAGGGACGAACGGGTGCCGCTTTAAGGAACTTCGCCCCTAAAAAAAAAGTCGTGGATATTGCGGTATAACAAAAAGGGACGGCTTTCAGCTATCCACTAGTAGAGTACCGAGTACTCTAAATCGTTAACCACTTCTTTTATAAGCACACATTCTTATTATTTGCACAAGCCGAACCACATGCTACGTGTTCACAAGTGACACGGGCACACCGATGAAGCCCAAAGCAGCCTCACTGAGTATTCGTTGCGAATGCTGGCAAATTATGCCGATTTGTTGTCATCGCACTGACATGGTCTGCATCGTTACAAACGAGGCGATGCGCATTTTCCTCCTGATGTCCCAACCAAATGTCTTCCACGATGTTTTTCTTTCTTTCATCATCGTCGTCATCATCATCATCATCATCATCATCATCATCATCAGTCTGACTGTGCCGGCTGGAGTGCAAGAGCCTATTAATGTTTCGTTAATCAAACTGGTCTGTGATTGATGCGCCCACGTTATTCCCACAAACTTGTCTCTTCTTTCGGAATCCAGTCTGTTACTATAGGTGACCAGCGGTTGCCTTGCCCCAATCACTTCCCCTACACCCCCTACCCGAGAGAGCTGGGAGGCTATCCTGCTCGGCCTTGGTGGGCCAAAGAGCCCTCGTGACCAGGGCGCGTTCCGCCGCAGAAGCCACAGGGGTCACGGACTATAGGGACTCCTAGAGCTTGCAAAGGGTCGGCCCTTGAGGTCGTCCCTCTCTCTCAAATGTAAATAGTTTCAGTAAATGTTTTTCACCACCACCACCACCACCTGGGCGCTGCGCGCCCTACCCTGCTCAGTACACCACTTAATCTTTCAGGCTTTAGTGCCTCTATAGTTGAGTCATTGTATAACAATATTGCTTCCCATCAGAAACTTTCACAATGACTCCACCATTGATAGAGACCGTGCATCGGTATACATATTCATTTTCTTTGCAACCTCACAGATCTACTCTTATGTTATTTTTCTGCATTACTGGAAGGTGAGCGAAGGGGGGGGGGGGGGGTAATGGACATACAAGCTTCAAGCTATTTCAAATGTTTCTCGTCTGTGTCTCTAATATCACATCGTGTCCATGTACGTGCACATGTACTAGTGATGCCAAACAAACTTGCACTGCGCTTTCCCATTCTTCCACGCGAGCGCAAGGTACGGATTTCTTCCTTCATCAGGCGGCGCAAGAGATCGGACATTGTCAGAATCTGAATACACTTTATTTCGCCGCACAAAAGTTCGGGCTGCCGCTGGCAAAACGCCGAAGACATCTTGACGTGGTCAGCAGGCTACCATCCTCATCACCACCTCTATAATCATCGTCAGTAGTAGTCACCTATAATAACGGATGACGCAGCGGTTGCCACATACCTGCGCATAACAGTATACGTGCTTTGGTAAATGAGGCGCGTTGTACCGCGAGGTTTGCTAATAATACACTAGGGGAGCTCCGGCATTTATGTGAGCTGCAGTGCCCTGCGTTTACAGAACTTGCTTGAGCCAGCATGACAATTATGAACAGTACAGAGATTCGTCTAAGCATCGTTACTTCGGCTTCGTTTGGTTCCGTGTGGCACGGAGCAACTTTGCCGCAAGGTGAAGTTCAGCAAATGCTCAGTAGTGTCACTTAATGTTTTAGGCTCGCCGATTCACATTGGCTCGTGACGTTCACTGCGATCCACTGTTTATTCCCAAACAAACGCTAAACCCCAACAGTAAACAAAGCCAGAAGTGATTTCGAAGCCACAAGCGCGAAGGTTAAGCAAATCCGTCTACTACCCATCATTTACATGGTGGCTAAGCAATCGGAGTGCCCGAGTTCCCTCTAGGGGATAGTAAGAAACTTTATACGTTGTACCGCATCCGCATAGTCATCATCACAATAATCATCATAAGCGCCCGCAGAGTTTTCTGGTCTCGCAAGAAAGCCAATCAGCCCGTAGTCGCGCCTGTATTAATGGATGATATTACAGCGGCTTCCCACAGGACGGTGCCCATAACAGTAGCACGCGCATTGGTAAATGAGGCGCGTTGTACACATTTACCGCCGTGTTATCGCCGTCTTCAGTGTCGAGGTAAGTCGACCGGAGGAGGAAAAAAAACTAATAAATTAAGGAGCGCACCAGGACGGCGGCACTCCCTGCCGTGAACATCGCAGTGACAGCGAGCTTGAATGCACTGGCCGAGGCGACGTAGTTCGTCGGAAATTTAATTAACCCAGCTGCGTGCAGAGCTCGCACCCTTTAAGAGACACACGGGCGTCGAGGATACTGAGACGTCGGAGAAAGGAGGATGCGGTCCGGCCAGTGGAGTCATCATAGTGCGTGTCCACTCGATAATAAGGAGAGCGTCGGGGAGTCAGTGACGTAAGCAGGTAGCCGCCGATGGGGTTACGGCGTCAATGACCATAGTACATCGATCGAGAGGGTAGGGTGGGGGACGGGAGGAGATGGCCACGCTGTCAAGACGCGCCGCTCGTGTGTCCGGCTGACCACGACGACGGGGGAAACTGAAAAAAAAAATGAATGAAAGTAAAGACAGCGCATTCCGCGGCGGCGTCATGCCGAAAAGGCTGCCGCCACTGCACTGATTGGAAGATGAGCGCGCGCGCACTCTCAGACGGGGTGGCTTCTGCTGCTGCTGCTGATGGAGAAGCCAGCGCCTGCACCTGTGCCCCCCGCCGGTGTCCGGCGCCGGTCGGTTCCCCCTCGACCGCCCCCCTCTCGCAGACTACCGCACTCTCGCCGGCTACCGCCCCACGCGGTGGGGGCCTTTTTCAATGGCCACGGAATCCCAGCAGCACGGCAAGCCATGGGCGGCGCCGGGAGAGGGTAGCGCGAACTGGAAGAGGAGGAGAGGCGGCCCTACGGCAGCCGGTGTACGCTTCGGGAGCCAGGAGCAACCAGTTGTCCGGGTGGTGTACTCCCCGAGTGGTAGGAGAGCACCGAGCGACGGCGGAGACCCTGGTTGCGCTGGATTCCCATCGCGGCGGGAGCAGCATCGCTCAGCAGCAGCAGCATGTGTCGGCGGCGAAGTTCGTGCTCGGTGACAGTGCGCGGTCCCTGGACGCGGTAGCCCGCCATGGATTCTCGGTGGCCCGCATCGGGAGGCGACCGCCACATCAACCGGAGGGGGGACACCGTGATGTCCAAGAAGGAGTCGCGGGCCGCCCGGAGCCCGGACGACGGCAGCTAGCCATGGCAGCGATCGCCCTTCCTCGCGCGCGTTTCTGTGCCGCCACTTCCCTGCTCGTGTGCTCGTGCGCGTTGTTGCTGCTACTGCTGCCCGCGGCCCGCGCCTCGGGCTTCTTCGAGCTCCAGGTGCTGGGCATCGACAACCCGGGCGGACTACTGCTGGACGGCGGGTGCTGTGGTTCGCGATGTCCCGGCCGGTGCAACACCTACTTTCGGCTCTGCCTCAAGGAGTACCAGGCGCAGGTGGACCTGTCCGGAGCGTGCACTTTCGGCAACCTCACGTCGCCGCTCATCGGCGGCAGCTCGTTCTCGCTGCAGACGCACCCGGACCAGCAGCTCCTGCTCAGGCTGCCCTTCCACTTCCGATGGACGGTGAGTCTTCTTCTCCGGGGAGGGGGGAATGGCCGGTCTGCTCGGTCAAGCCTGCAGGCCGCCTTCTTCTTCGTACCTTGTTCTTCTTCTTGCGCGAGACACGCGCTACTTTTTTTCTTTCGGCTCCGGTGAAACTCATCTGCATGCGTCGGCACGCACTCGCCGTGTACTTTACTGCGCCCTTCGCTTGCTTTATTTTTTATGACGGTCGCACTATACACAGAGTATACGTATACGCAGTTATATTTTTTCTCCCCGAGAGACGGGACAGGTAGGTATGTGCGTCTTGGAATGGCACGCGGACAAGTGCTTCTTCTCATGCATACCCGGGAGTGCATCTTCACCAAAGAGCCGACGCCATTAGAAATGGGTCGTCGGGAGTTGTCGAGATACGTTCACAGCGTCCGTCAAGTCATGAAAAAAAAAATAAACCTCCATAAACGTGACTAAGTGATTCTACATGAGTCGCTGTGGCGACAGCATACAGAGAGACCCTGTTGGCCTCAACAGTGCGCAGTATAGTTACCATAAATACCATCAGTTTGCTTTGCTATTGATGATCATACCTCGACCTCTGTGTATATCCTAAGTGGACGAGTTAAGACAGTTGGTCGTCCGAGGAGTCTAACGCGTTTATACAGGTTTGGCTAGGTTTTCGTAGTCCCCGTAGACCTGCATGCAAGATCGGGGCACCACATTCCGAGACGATCGGAAAGGAACCAACTGGATCGAGTTGGACCGGTCAGTATACGCGATCGCTGGATAAGGAGACTCGGGCGAAGCGGATCGACACAGAGGCGATATGGTTACAATGTTGCAGACCGCATTGAAAGCGCTGAAAAACAGCCTGGTTCCTCTTGCGTTGAACTGTTGTAAGTTGAAACGTTTCTTTAGATATGCGCGTTGATATATGCGGTTGTGGACACTGTTTCGTAGTACAGAGTTGACACAACATTCACAGAGGTTGACGAAATCCCACATATAGGACACTGATGTTTCTGAACAGTGCGATGCGACTCTGTAATCGCAAACGAAAGTACGGATTTGCGAACCCTTACATGAAATTACACCCCACTCCGATCTCTCCTCGACTCCTGTCGGCTGACATGATCGCACATCTGAAGTCTGGAAACACGTACAAACGTACTATCTCACGTAATCAAATAAACGCGTGCGCGAAGCGTACAGGTAAAGCTTCGTTCACACGCACCCTAATTCTGATGTTCCGTTTCGGCAAAAAAAAGAAAAAAAACACACATTTTAATCACGAAAACGTCAGACGCGCAACGTCCAATTGGCCACCTTGTCTCGTGACGCTGAAGGATGAATTCGCAAACTATAGCACGTGATCCTATATCGGGACATAGAATGACGTCGTCCAGATGACGTGGCCCACGTGCTATGGCGAGAAAATACGCGAAGGTAGATGTATTTCATTTGGAAAGTTATACGTACAATCTCAACAACACGCACTCTCGACATTATTCAGCTGTTTCATCAATACGCGTATAGTGTTAACGTCGCGAAGATCCGGAAACGCCCGCTGCAAAACGAGTGGAATCAGAGCACACAAAGCTCGGGAAATCATAAAGTGAGCCGTGTAAGTAACGATAATTTATACGATCCGGTGAACGTCTGTCACTCCACATTGGACTTAATGCGGGTTCTAGTTTGAAAACAGATGAAGTGGTAAAAAAAAAGAACCTTCACGCGACTTCAATCACCACGAAGAAGTTCTGGCTTTTGTGCTCTTCTGCATCCGACCGTTAAGCGATTCTTTAGCGACAGATGTGGATCGATGGAACTGCTCGCGCAGTGCGTGGGGGTGTAATGTGGTCGCACAGAAAAAAAAAAGAACTTTGCAATTAAATACTACAAAAACACTAATTAGCTAACTCACTGTATACCGCGTGTTCCATCGCAACCTCAAGTTTTGCAGTGGTTTCCGAAACACCAAGTCTATGTAATAAACCTGTCGCGTGCGCATATTGACGGACTCACTCGCTGGATTTCGGGCCGACCAATTGTGCCCCCGCGATCTCCGACGACAGCGCAGCTCAGGTCGACCGGCTCGCCCTATACGCCATCTACTGACGCCGACAAGAGCTCTCGCTGAGTGGTGCCCCGTTTCTGTTATTACATAATCGCGTCACTTGCGTGAGACAGCTCAACAAAGAAAGAGCGTAATAATAATGACGTACAATAGCGAAAATACTTGTTTGCACTGATTATAACAACAGTCTCTCGTAGTTAAACAAAGACTTGGTTCGTTTTTGGAGTGATAACTGGATGTGCAGTCCTTATATGCATTAAATGCTACACCTGTTTTTTTTTTTTTTTTTGCACAAAGACTGCTATATCCGATCGCTAGACATAACCACACCATGTACCTGACCACGAAAGGCAAGGCTGGCTCTTACGAAAGCGTATACGATTCAAGAATGCGCCGACATGATACGACACCAGTTGTATAGATGCTGAAAAGTGCTTGCGTCGCTTGGCCCTACATTTTCGCGTTTGGATCCGGGGCGCACAGTAAACCAGTTCGCAACCGTAAGGGTGCTTCTCCGTGCTTACAACCACAGTCCCTTTACGCTTTACGCTAAATGGTGCTTTGACGAGCCAGAACACCCATGACACGGGTGTTTTGGTTTGTTAAAACACCCCTATCGTAGGGTGTTAGTTATAGACACAAAAAAGCACCCTTAAGGGTGCGAACTGGTTTACTGTGTGCGTGCTTCAGCGCAAGACATATAATGTTTTTTTAATCAGCTCACAAATGCGGAACTATACGTCGATTCACTACTGATTAGTCTGTTGAATCACGCGATCTTGAGTCGAACGATTAGTTACTTCGCAATTTTACGAGCGATTCAGCGAAATCGGGAAGCTCCAGTAATTGCGCCCCGCCGCGGTGGTCTAGTGGCTAAGGTACTCGGCTGCTGACCCGCAGGGCGCGGGTTCGAATCCTGGCTGCGGTGGCTGCATTTCCGATGGAGGCGCAAATGTTGTAGGCCCGTGTGCTCAGATTTGGGTGCACGTTAAAGAACCCTGCAGGTGGTCTAAATTTCCGGAGCCCTCCACTACGGCGTTTCTCATAATCATATCGTGGTTTTGGGACGTTAAACCCCACAAATCAATCAATCCAGTAATTGAAAATCTGCGCAGCTTTGCGGATTAGCAGTCGGCGCGAGAATTCGCGATCGCACAAACGCGCAGATAGAACCAGCGCGCTCTCGTTTTCCGTAATCTATAATGACGCCGTGAAAAACGCGAAAGCGCTGATGACCGCGGGGAGGAAAAAAGAAAAGCCCGATTGCGCGCTCAAAGCGAAATGAGGAGTGGCCCGAAATATATAGTTTCCTCTTTAACGGGCAGGGAGGGGACGCACTCGCTTTTTCCGCGCGACATAATTTCGTTCCGCTCTATAGCGCACCGTCGCTGCACGGCTCGCGTTTAACCGATTGCTTTTTTTTTTTTCTTTATCGAGTGTTCGTCTCGCTTCCTCGGAAGTTCGAACTATTTCAATAGCTGCTTCTCAACAAACGAACTTGTACAGTATATCGTTTTGAATTCGAAGGCTTACGTTTCGGTGGTAATCATGTTCTTATCGTATATTTATTTAGTAATTTTGATATACTGCCACTCTCAGCCAGCTAAAAGCGTGGCGCGTTGGCATGTACAACACTGTGTTTGAATTTCGAAAAATTTTCCGAGCACTCAGTACGGTTGTTTAACCAGCGAGGCTGATGGCCCAGGTGTTTATCACGAGCTCGGATCGATAAGAGTGTGCTCTGTTGTACTGTTTGATTTCTTTATCATCACACTCAGGATATGGGTCCTTCAAACTCCGCGTTTGATGACGTTAGTTGAAAGGATGCCACGGACATTCATTCTATAGGTGAACAGCATCGCTACGTATGTATGCTCATAAAGCCAAACTCACGTACAGGCCTTGCGAGGTCGCGCACGTTAGTACTTGATTGATTGATTGATTGATTGACTGATTGGTATGTGGGGTTTAACGTCCCAAAACCACTATATGATTATGAGAGACGCCGTAGTGGAGGGCTCCGGAACGCACGTTAGTACTGCTTCTTGATTGTTGTGTCCGCTCACACGATGAATCGCCATATTTTTTTTTCACTTCATAGCCCGTATATACAGTTTCTTTGTAAGTGTACGTTGATTATGGGGCACACTGTCTGATGCACATTCGCTCCACACCTGCAACACAGGCGCACACATCGCTCAACTGATCTTCGATGCCGTTAGTACTTTCCACGATGCTTGTGAATGATTCCCCTTGCTTTTACGCTTTTACCCACCAGAGGCGCTTCATATCTCCACGATAACCTTAGTTCACGTGATCAGCATTTTTTTTTCTTCTTCCTCTCTTTTCCGCCCTTTCCTCTGCTCCAACAATGAATGGAAGGTCAGAACGTTGATACGGGGAGACCTCTCAGCTTTTCAACCACAATAAGTCGCTCTCTCTCCCACGATAACCTGAAAGGACCTCACCTGTATATTATTATATGATAGCTCTGCGAATATACCAGTGCTCTATCTTGAGACCTGCTATACCAAGATGGGCAAAATTTCCTGCTGTATACTCTCTCGGAAAGAAGGAACTAATCGAGGATATGAAGATAGCAAGAAATAAAAGGACGACGCGAAACACGCGCAAAAGTTAGTGCTGACACTACCTACCACTAGCATTAGTGTTATAGTGCGGAAACGATTGCGCGACACGATCGCCAGGTCGCGTCGAACAGCCCACTCTCTCGAAAATGTGGTGAAGTTCCGGCACCGCTAACGGGTGCACCAGTAAGAGGAAATCGAAATACATCCGTTACTATACAGAACCTCTCCGTCTTTACACGTGATAGACCCGTTACTATACGAACGTATTCCGTAAAACCACCTGTTCGTCAAATAAGACATGAGCGTTTCACGTCTATAAACGGCACCACACGTCTATACAACAAGGAGCGCTGGAT